TTAGGGTTTCAGGTTTAGGGTTAGGGAAACAAGCCAACCCCCCCAGGACTCGGACTCGCACGGCGAAGACGATGACGACAAGGACGACCACAAGGATAAGGACAAGGGCTCCAACGCCTCCAACACATCTTGGCACAAGGCCCGGGGAGCCCGAAAATGCCAGGATACAGGGCTAGGTGATCCTGAGGAGTTTTTGCTTGAGAGAGCCTCTTAGGTTACTAGAACTCCCCCCCCAGGGGCGATTAGTTGTACTTATTGTTGCCATTACAACTTTTATCAATGGTATTAAGCACATGGGGCTTTCCGAAAATAGGGGACCATAATATAGTAGTCTAAATAGTAGGATCCTTGTTATAAGGACCCCAAAATAAGGTACCCTAATTTTCGGAAACTCCCACATGTTCCTGCTTTCGGCTCGACGGGGCTTTTCATGCTGGAGGGTGGAGGATCTGGAAATTCGGACGAGGGGTTTAGGGTTTAGGGTTTAGGGTTTAGGGTTTAGGGATTAGGGTTTAGGGATCCCTCTCTGGCTCTGAATGAGAGTATGTCACTCCTTTAACTTTAACTAACAATCCAGGACCCCCAAGATGGAGCTGAAGTTAGATACGTGGATGCCGCAGGTTTACGCTTTCAGGTCGCTGGGTGTTCCGATTCCAGGGGCGGCGGTGCAGTGAGGGTTTAGAATTTATCGCATTTGCAGGAGTTTGTGGGAACAAGGACCACAGGAGTTTGTGGTAACAACCACTGCACGTGGTTATCAAGACCCTCATGTCGCCCGAAGGTGAGCCAATCCATCCACCCCCAAGCCCTAGGCACTAAACCCTCAAGCCCTTGCACCCGGAAGGTGAACCAGACCATCCGAGACCTTGTGAACAATGTCCTGGTGGCCGACATCAACCAAACGCACCAACTTCCTAACCCAGAGGGGAACTATTCGGATCCCGAGTGCCTAGGCTGGGTTTAGGGTTTAGGGTTTAGGGTTTAGGGTTTAGGGTTTAGGGTTTAGGGTTTAGGGTTTAGCTGCTTCATAAAAGGAGTAACATAGGGGGCCTTTCTATAGTTACCTACATTATTTTGGAGGGTTCCTTATTCTGTTTGCAGCATAAAATACCCAAAACCCTATTCTGATGACTAAGGCCAATATTACCACGTGATTCATCTTGTTTGGACCGTTTTTCCCCTTCCCTGACTCCCGGGAGAATCTAAAAAAGCAGATCCCTAATTAGGGACCCTCACCACTAAAGGGTACTTTATTGGAGCCCCTTCAGGCGTCTATTTTTTGGATCCTCCCGGTAAACTGGGTTCTTCCGGTGGTTTGGGTTCTTCCGAAGTAGACTGAGTCTCTGAGTTGGCGACTATGGTTCATTTTTGGGTTTAGGGTTTAGGGTTCAGGGTTAGGGGGTTTAGGGTTTAGGGTTTTGGTTTCATTACAATGCATTCCGTTTAAGTAAGGTTTATAATTTGGGGCTTAGGTGCTGTCTGCAACTGTTATTTCTCTGAGAAAAGGGTTTAGACTGACAAGACTAGTGGGACTAGTGCATGCGCTGCTGACTTGCATTGCTATTATCACGTATTTTGCTACGTGTCTAGAGTCCCTAATCGTCTCTAACTACACTAGAATGCACACATATATGTATGTGCACCAACAACCCTGGACTAATGACTAAAAACCCTATATCAAGCCCTACATATACTCTTGGCCATTTTCTCCTTTGTCTCGTAGTCTCCAACGGCCCATCACGACACTTGCCATTCATCATCTCTAGCCTATCAGCCGGCTTAGTTGATCAGGGCAGTTACGAAGTTATACAGGCTATCAATAATTGCCCTAATGGCGTAATTCGTTTGTACGACGAAAGGTCACACCTAGACACCAAACTTAGAAATCTCGAAGCCCCTCTTCGCTGCAACAAACACATCACTAAGCCCAACCCAAGGCCTTGCAAACCCTACAGAAACCCTGAAAGACACCTTCTTCGAATCTGAGAGCAGCTTTATGCATCCCCTTGCACAAGCCCTGGTTGGAAGCTCGAGGTGCTTATGACTTGGACCGAATCATAGTGTACTCGTAGCCCACACTTATAAAACCTAAACCCTAAACCCTAAACCCTAAACCCTAAACCCTAAACCGGCCCGCAGCCCTAAGCCTCTCCTGTGGTTTGTAACTGCGGCGCTCAACAACAAAATGGCAAGTCCCCCGCCCTGCAGCCTGTAGTCTCAACGCTTCCTAGCAGCATCCCCTCATACTTCCAGAACGCCTGCGGAGTTAAACCCTTAAACCTCTAAACCTCTGGTCACTAAACCCCTAACCCCTAAACCCAAAAACCCAAACAACCTAAACCGCAACCCCTAAAGCCCTTAACCCCCAAAGCCCCCTGAGTCCTATAAGCCCTCGGCCGCACTTGCGTGCAGACGGAACAGAGCTCTCAAAACAAGAAAACCCTACAAACCTATAAACCTAAAGGGTTTAGGGTTTAGGGTTTAGGGTTTAAAACCCTAAAACCCTAAAACCCTAAAACCCGAAACCCTAAAGCCCTAAAGCTCTAAACCCCAAAGTCCCTAAATCCGTAGACTCTAAACCCTTCTATACCCTAAAGGACCCTAAGCCCTAAGCTAATCCAAAACGAGGCCCCAATAGCAGGCTCCTCCTGGTAAGGAATTCTAGACTGCTTTGCAGTTGGAAAAGGGCCCCTAAAAATAAGAAAAACCCAGGAACCGCACTGGCTTGGGTAGCTTGGCCCAGACTTTGGAGTTCCTCTACCTCAAGGCCGGCTGGTGTTCCTTAAAGGGGCTCCTTCAAGATTTAGGGATTTAGGGGTTTAGGGCTTGGGGTTTAGAGTTGAGGCTTAGGGTTTAGAGTTTAGGGTTTAGGGCTTCAGGAAGTTTTAGGGCCCCCTTGAAGTTCGCCTCGAAGGGCTCCTTTGAAGGTTTCTTTCGGGGTTCTGTAGGAGTTTGGGTATGAGGGATCAGGGACTCAGTAAGTAGGGCTCCTTTTTTTGAAGGGTTCTATAGGGTGTTATGGGTACTGTAGGGCCTTTAGGGTTGTGGGTTTAGTTCTGTTTAGGGCTTGGGATCCTATACCCTAAACCTTTTAGGCCGTTTCTATCCGCTTGTGTTGTTAAGAAATATGGATAAGAATTTACTGTAATTCAAAGTTAGGTCGTTTGTAGTGTTCTTTACAGTTTGGGGTTTGGTCTGTTTTGTCTTGTTAGTTGCTGTTGTTTGCGTTTGACATTTTTTCCGTCGCAGGGGTTTGTGGTTGTGGTTCTTCCCGGTTTTCATCTGTTTGCTACTACTATTCAGGGTTTTCTAGTGTTGATTGGGGGCTTTTTGGGTTTCGTGCGGCAGGGCTTAGTACACTTCGGGCTGGAGGCTCACCAGTTCTTTGTTCCCTTATCGGTTTAGGGTTTGGGGTTTAGGGTTTACTTAACAGGCAAGCAAAGGAAGAACAGTAGAGAGGGCAGTTCCAAACCCAGGACCCCAAAAGTCGTAGGCACCACAACCTCGAACCCAAGACTGGGCATTCTAAATCTTGAAGATCTTAAAGACCCTAAATCCTTAACCCTAAACCCTTAACCCAAATTTTTAAAGACCCCTAAAGACCCTAAACCCTAAACCCTGAAGATATTAAAAGCCTCAAACTCTAGAGACCCTAAGCCCCGAAAGCCCTATAAACCTGGAAGTCCCTTAACCCTGAAAGCCCTAAGAATCCGATAAACTTTTGACCCTAAACCCTCAGAGCCTTATATTTAAAAACTAGACCCTAAACCCTAAAAGCCTTATAAACCCTAGACCCTAAACTCAAAAGACCACCTTCAATGTCTTTGAAGGTGGCGGAGCTCGAGACTGCTGTGGAGTTGCAGAGCTGGGGCCGCAAGGTTAATACATATACATGTATATCCACACATATGTGTATATACTATTACTATAGAATTAGTGTGTGTGTGTGTATGTCTATATATATGTATATATTATGTATATATGTATATGTATATGTGCGTGCATATACATATAGATAGCATCTGGAAGTAAAGAAATATGTCAACAAGCATACATACACACATACAGGGGTATGATAGGGTTTGCGGAGGTTTCATCGGCTTCCCTATGTTAAGCACGTGAAGAACACTGAGGTCCCGTATAGGGTAGACCTCTAGTGGCAACCCGTTTAGAACCCCCCTAACGGAACCTTTACCGGAACCCTGTGAGATGTAACAGCCCTTACCCAGACCCCCAAAATGATTTAAAACATAGATCCCCTAATTAGGGACCCTAACTATTAAAGGGTACTTTATAGGAACCCCCTTAGGGGATCTATTGTTTAGATCCTTTTGGGGGTCTGGGTAGCGCCCTCAGGAACATTGAGATCCAGCTGAACCACGAGCCGCGAAGCTGCAGTGGGAGTTGAGGGCTCGCAGCATGCGGCTGCTACGGGGTTTGCGGCTTAGGGTTTGCGGTTTAGGGTTTAGGGTTGAGGGTTTGCGGCTTAGGGTTTGGGTTTTTGGCTTGAGTTTAAGGGTTTCTGGGTGTTGGGGCTGGGTATCGGTCCGAATTCTCTATTGGGTGTTGTCTGACTTTTGATGAAGATGTAGGGTGTTGGTTGGATTTCGGGTCAAAGACCGTCTGGCTGTTGTTTACAGGCTTGGATTTGTTCAATGCTGTCAGGACTTTCTGTGAAGACTTACAAAGCCAAATACGCCCTTAAGTTATCTTAAGGATCATTCAACATATGAATGAAGATTCCTTGAAATCACATTATAAAGGATCGCCCGATACCCTTACGGAACACTCCCCGAAAGAAAAGCCCGATTCCAGGCAGGCTCAGTTGGAGATCCAGCAGCTGCTGCTTGGTTCCTTAATTAGTGCGAGCATTCATGTAAAACAAGGGTCTATAACTATAAATAGCGGTTTCGGGTTTACGGTTTAGGGTTTAGGGTTTGGGGTTTAGGGTCAGTTGCACAACAGGGATGTCAGTGCAGTTTTGCGTCGTCCGAGGAAGGATCGTCTGGACCAGAAGGATGCGGACCTCAGACAACTGCAATCAAAGAGCCCCAGCTGTCAAGCGGATAGCTTGTGCTTCAAGTTACCTCTAGATTGAATTGCTGCATTGACTTAATTCTCACATATTGCGAGATTTGAAGCATAGCAGCCCTAATTGATCCCCTAACCCCGCAAATCGTGAAGCCGTGAATATAGCTACAGTAGGAAATACCGCACAACAAAATCCCAATTTACTTTTTGAGGCCCATACATGACTGGTCTGGGAGTTGCAGTCAATACCCAACAGGAGTCGCAAGATATGATGCACTTCATAGTGGTGTAGTAGCAGTAGCAGTAGTAGTAGTAGTAGTAGTAGTAGTAGTAGTATGAGTAGGAGTAGGAATAGGAGTAGGAGTAGGGGTAGGAGTAGGAGTAGGAGTAGTAGTAGTAGTAGGAGGAGGAGGAGGAGTAGGAGTAGGGGTAGGAGTAGGAGTAGTAGTAGGAG